TGTCGAGTTATTAGTTTTTTTAAAAATTAACAAATTTATTTTAATCTAAATCGTACACCATAATTAAAATATTGTATCACTTCTCATTGATTTAAATCCATCATCGTTTATGTACTATATCTCTAATAATATAAAATATATTTGATATTACACGAGAAAGTATGACTCAATATAAAAACAAAACATTTTGTAGTTATCAAAAGCTTATGCGTGAATTTTTATCGATTTTGAATAAAATCGACTTGCTAATCCGAAAATTAGGTTTAGCCGCTTTTTCATTATTGGCTAGGATCACTATCTATTCCTCCTCTCCTTCTTGAGAATGCTTGAAGGCATCAATCTTTTGTTGAACTTTATTTCTCCTTTGTTTAAGGTTCAAACGATGTTTTTTGTACTAATAAAATAAACAAGCAATTAATGATATGATAAGCGAAATACAAAATGGAAATACTGAATAGACATACCTTCTTGAAATCCTTGTAATCACCTTTCTTTTGTGTGGGTTTAAACACAGGATCTGCACGAATCTTTGCGTGTGCGTTTTTATAAATTTCTTCCAGATCATCAGCGCTAACACCCTTTTCAATAAATTTAGAGAATTGACGTTTATATTTTTCATCATCATCGTCTTGAAGAAGGCGCATATAATCAGCTACATGACCTCCGTATATATATTTACGAAGGATTTCTGCGTCTAGTTTCTTAGATTCTGCGTCATAACCGGGGAATCGATTTTCACCATGAGGAACGAAAATTCCACCATCGGAGGCACCTTTTAACGCAGCAAAGACCTTTGAACCTGTGGATGTACGTTTTAAGCCCACATCTAAGAAGGCCTTAAAAGGACGTGGTGCATCCTCATCATCCAATTCAGCAATGGGACAAACTGTACCATCCGGTTCGATAACACCTTCGTATTTGTCGGCTAAGTTAAGCTTTGTAAGGATTCTACGAGCAGCGAGTAAGCCGGTAGCGTACGCTATTAATTGTAATTTTATGTATATATATATAATGTTGTAACATGGCTTCGTTTTGAATTGAAACATTTCATACTGCTATTAAACACATATCCTCAGGATCATTCTTACCAGCTGCCCAATTTGTCAAACCTACATGAATACCGTATTTTGGTAATTCATGCGAATACGCAGCTGTCATAACCTCGTCACCGATTATCTTTGCGTACACGATTTGAACGATTACATCCGTATTAGTAAAACGGACGACCAATCGATATTTCGGTGAATTATACTTATTCTTGGCTTGGATCACAAGCTTTTTACGTGCGTAATAATCGGTCTTGCCCTCTATTAAAATATATCAAACCAGAAAAGGAAAAAGATCATCAAATCATTGTTAATGGTTCGAACCTATGCGCACTGAAAAAGTATGAGTAACATAGGATTTTTATAAATATAATTTCAGATAGGGGCGAAAAGAATCAACATGAATAATAATTCAGATGAACTATATTATCATCATAAAATTCTGCCGAAATTTTCAAAGAAAGGCAACTAGCCCATTTTTGTTTTCATCTATTGTAACATATCATTATCGAGCATACCGCGTCTTCTACGATATTTTACTTGATATCGTTTGAAATAAGCTATGATTTAAATGAAAAACAAATTAATCTGAGCCTGCACAATTACAAACCAATTAGTGGCATTATATCTACCTTTGTTTTTTACTGTCTTGACGAAGGGCTGTGAAATATTGAAAATAATTATAATGAAGAAAGTAAGCAATGATAATTAAATGAGATAAATTGATAGATCTTTATTCTTTTTACTGAACTACAATATTCAAGAGAATTGAATAATTATCGGAGAATAATAGCATAAATTCAATGCAATAAAAAAGAAACATTTTATTATCCGAAAATATCATGTATTCAATTTTTTAAATTGTTTCCCAATTGAAATAAAAATGCTACATTATTTTCACCGATTGGATTCTTGTACTGACCATTTTGCGAGGCAGTAGACCTTTGAAGGAGGGAGATCTATCAAAAAAAAAAAATTATCTTATATTACCATAATCACGTGTCACGATATCATCACGTGAGACGTGAGATACGGGTTTCCAAATCCAAAAATCGGAGCAACAATTCCGCATAAAAATACATACGAACCTAACAAGCTAAGCTAGCGTCTCACCTTAGCGTATATCTACTTTTATTAAATAAAGTGTCTTAGTACCTTTAATTTTGCACGCTTTATTCCAAATCTTAATCATTGCTTTTACAAAATAAGGTACAGACAGTCTTGAATCAACTTGAAGCATCAATTAAATAATAACTAAGAATATTCACCTTTTAGAATTCAAACGAAAAAGTAGTCTACTTCACGCTTTTAGTGATTGATAGCATGGATTCTTCTAGCCCACCATTACCAGCTCCAACTGATTTGACAGCTACATGGAACTTCCTTGAAAATGGCATCGAACATATTATGAATAGATTGGAAGAAGGGCTTAGTTATAAACGATATATGGATCTTTATACGTATCCTTTTATCAAAATTTTTCCATTAAACTTTAAATTAGATTTTTTGCTTATGTTTTTTTTTTCATCATGTTGCTGATCTATTCAACGAGCATTGTTATCTTTAACATTATTGAATTGAATCATTTAGTGGTATCTACAATTATTGTACGAGCAGTCGTATGAATCCTGGGTTTACTTCAGAACCTCTCGCAGGTCCCGGTGCAAACCTGAGTAATAATCGAGGTACAAATAATATAATTTCAAATGTAAAAATTTTTCTTTAATCATTGATTCTTTCATAATATATTAACAAATTTCCAATATTAACAGGCGCCAATTTAATGGGAAGTGATTTATATCAAAACCTTCAAAGATATCTTGAAAGATATCTTCATACTATTCGCGAGGTAGATGTTACATATTTTTGAAATTGTAATTTTATTTTCCATAAATATCTTTCAAACAATTAAACACCCTTTTAATAGAATTCAACTCAACATATGGATGAAAATTTACTGCGGTATTATACAAAACATTGGGAGAAATATACTACGGCGTCTTCCTACGTACATCATGTATTCAGATACCTTAATCGTCACTGGGTCAAAAGAGAAATCGATGAAGGTCGTAAAACCGTTTATGATGTCTATACCGTAAGAAACAATGATTATGAAATTTGATGTGTTATCATTTTACGAGCGTATATTTATTAACTTTGATAATCTTTATCTACGTTCTAAACAGCTCACTCTTGTTAGCTGGCGAGATTATATGTTCATGCATGTAGAGCGTCATGTAATGGCAGCTGTTCTAAAACTCATCGAACGTCAAAGGAACGGTGAGAGTGTCGAAACTGGCTTGGTGAAAAGCGTTGTTGAATCCTTTGGTAATGTCTCTTTTAGCATATGCAGCTTTGTTTGATATTTGTTAATATCAGTGTTCTTTTAGTTGCCCTCGGTCTTGATGATGCCGATTCCACAAAATCAACGCTTGACGTATACAAGGAACACTTTCAAAAACCATTCGTAGAAGCTTCTGAAGTCTATTATAAAGCAGAATCAGAGAAATTTGTTAGTGAGAACAGCGTCACTGAATATATGAAGAAGGTAATGTAAATGTCTATGGATTAAAAATTTATTTTAGTGTGTATGTTTGTTATATTTAAAAAGTTTCTTTTATATTACAAATAGGCTGAAGCTCGTTTACGAGAGGAAGAAAATCGTGTTAAACTATATTTGCACCAAAGTACCCATAAACCACTTATCACAACATGTGAGACAGTGCTCGTGAAGAATCACACTGACATTATGTGGGATGAATTCCAGAATCTACTAAACCTTGATAGGATGGATGATTTAAATCGAATGTATTCTCTTTTGTCGCGTATTACTGAAGGATTAGAACCTTTACGCACGCGTTTCGAAGAACACGTTCGTAAAGCAGGATTAAATGCTATTGAGAAAGTTGCAGATGAAGTCAGCGATAACATGGTATTATGATTTTAGGTTACTATTTGTTGTCATTTATTAACCGTTTTTATCTTATTTTGATTTCTAAACTATTCATTTTACCCTTTGGTTTATTTGTTTGCAGGAACCAAAAATATATGTTGACGCGTTGCTTGAAGTTCACAGTAAATATAATGATATGGTTACAACAGCCTTTAGAGGCGAAGCTGGTTTCGTTGCTTCACTTGATAAAGTAAATACAAAATAATGGTTTACATTCTATTTTAAGTTCATTCTAAGTTCATACTTAATAAAAATTTAATTAGGCATGCCGAGAATTCGTAAATCGCAATAAAGTGTGTAAAGCCTCGACATCAAAATCACCAGAATTATTGGCTCGATTTTGTGATTCTTTGCTTAGAAAAAGTTCAAAGAACCCTGAAGAAAATGATCTTGAAGATGTCTTAAACAATATTGTAAATACTTTCTGTTTTTTATTATAATTATTGAGTATACTATTTAACGCTAATGGAGAAAAAAAAAAAATGCTATTTAGATGACTGTATTTAAATATGTGGAGGATAAAGACGTTTTCCAAAAGTTCTATTCAAAGATGCTGGCAAAACGTTTAGTAAACGGAACGTCAGCATCAGAAGACGCAGAATCTAGCATGATATCTAAATTAAAGGTTGGACATGATAACATGTTGTTATGCACTTGCAATTTAATTAAATGCAATCGATGTAAATTATCTTCTAAATATTCTTACAGGAAGCATGTGGTTTCGAATATACATCAAAATTACAACGTATGTTTACCGATATGGGGTTAAGCAAAGATCTTAATGATCAATTCAAAGAGCGCACTTCTATGGAAGCTAATGAACAAGGTAACTAATTTATTTAAATGCAAATTTGTAGTAATTGAGTTTAGTATTTGGCTAACTCATTTTGCATTTTCATACACCCTTAGTCGACTTCTCTGTTCTTGTTTTGGGTACTGCGTCTTGGCCACTTCAACCATCTACAACAAACTTTAATATACCAGAAGAAGTAATATATAATATGAAATCACTTTATAGTTACGAATATGTTTTGGCTTTTTTTTATTTATTTTATTTGTTTTTTTTTTTATCACAGCTTGAAAGAACTTTCCAACGTTTCAAGATGTTTTATCAAAATAAACATTCTGGTCGCAAACTTAATTGGTTATTCCATCTTTCAAAAGGAGAATTAAAGGCTAACTATTGTCACCTATCGAAGACAGGGTATACATTCCAGGTTGGTAATAGCGAGGTGCTCGATAAACTTGTCAGTTGTAAATTTTTTGACGCAAATATCGATTTTTAATACAAATAAACCTTCTTATTACATTCTAGGTATCAACATACCAAATGGGCATTCTTTTGCAATACAATAAAGATTTGTCATACAGCTTTGAGGAATTAAAACAGAGTACAAATTTGAATGCAGAAGTTTTGATAGGTGCCCTAGGGACTTTAGTTAAGGCAAAGGTGCTCGAACTTTCTGACGGCACGGAAGTTGGTGATCCTTCGTCCCGTTACGAACTGAATACGGAGTTTAAGAGGTTTATTATTCAGAATGTTTAGACATGAAGTCATTTAACTTAGCATTGTTCTTTGTTACAATAATCAACCATATCTATATTCGCGCATTATCACTTACTAGTAAGAAAGTTCGTATTCAACTAAATCTTCCGGTTAAATCTGAGC